CCAGCCAGCCTCTCGGGTCATCTGAGGTGGCTGGGACTCCGTGATGGACCGCTCCGGGGTCAAATGCAGAAGGCGGTACTCCTCGATACCGTTCGCATCATCCGCCGGTTTCTTTCCCTTTCCCCCTAACCCTCGGCCGTTTGGTCTCTCCTGTCGAGGTTTACCATCTGGTTGAGCTTTTATTTATTTATGTATTATTTATTTATGTTAGTATATTATAAATGGTTGGGCGGCGGGCCTTAGGGTTCCCGAGGTCTATTCCCCGGTCGAGCCTTGACCCTATTACGCGAGATTTTATACTAGATGGACTGTATACGCGGTAAGCTTCTTCTGCCTCAACAAGATGGCGGATGTGGCACGCGGTTCCCTGACAATGCACTCGCTCTTCCGAAATCTATTGTTTGCCAAGGTTATGAAGGAATCCTGCTTTAGCACGTTAGGAGAAATGAAATGGGGCGGGGTAGCTAACAAACAAATGCTCAAGCAGGCACTGAATTGTAGGAAAAACACACTTACCGGGGTGTGACTTCGATGCGGCTTAGGCGCTTCCGTTGCTGTGATATGACGTGAGGTGGGTCTTCTGGGGCGCCCCAGAGATGTGATCCAGGCCAGTCGTGCGAAGGAAGAGAGCGGTGCGCGGTGATATCTCACACTATGTGAGGCGGTTACTTTTGGAGCGCGACTGCTCCAGGTGGTGCGGTTCAGACTAGCGGCGCGTGGCAAGAGAGGACTCGAGGGCAGCGCGCGAGCTTATATTGCTTCGGCTTTCCTATCAATGCATCTCGGTCGGGCGCGCTTCTCATTGGTCGAAAGAATCACGCCACCTTCTAGAATCTCCTCTTTCCCCTCTCACCCCCCCCTTTCCCGTGATATTGCTAATGTGTTCAGAGAATACTTTAGAGTGGAATCAACACTGGGACCGGCAGAGCCGCTGGTGTCTGATGCAGAGGCAGGTAGTCTTAAGCCAGAGCCAAAGATGTAGCTAAAGTCATTAAGTGCATGGTGAGGGGCAAGTCGCCTGGGCATGACCACCTCAGCATTGAACACCTGCAGCATGCTGGAATTCATTTGCCAAGGGTTTTGTCTTTGTTGTTTACCTTGTGTATTGGGCATTCATATCTCCCTGACAAATTGATGCGAACTATTGTTATTCCTATTCCAAAAAACAGGACTGGTGACGCCTCTGATGTGTCCACCTATAGGCCCATCTCCCTTGCTTCTGTGATCGCTAAGGTACTGGACAGTTTGCTTAACGGGTTCCTGGATAAGCACATCACGCTCAATGATGCTCAATTCGGTTTTAGACCAGGTCTCCCACCGAGAGTGCTATCTTGTGTCTCAAGCAGACTGTCCAGTATTACACAGCAAGGACCTTTGTTTGTTTGCTACCTGGACCTATCAAAGGCGTTTGACTTAGTAGCTTAGCAACACATGTGGGATAAGATGAGATCTGAGACTAGCCTGCCCGAAGAAGTTATATTGCTCTTTCAGCACTGGTATAGCAACCAAAAGAACAATGTCAGATGGGCTGGCTCGCTCTCAGAAGAATACAGATTAGAATGCGGCGTGAGGCAAGGTGGTCTAAGCTCTCCTACGCTCTTTAACTTATATATGAATAGGCTCCTTGATGAGCTCAGCAGTGCCGGTTTCAGTTGCCACATAGACAGAGTTTGTATTAAATAAGTTATGCAGATGATATGGTGCTGCTGAGTCCATCAAGTGCAGCCTTAAAGAAAATGTTACCTATAGCGAATCTTATGCTGTGGCCCAGGGGCTCAAATATAATGCTGGTAAGAGCGAATTCATGATGTTCAATCCGGACCACAAGCGATACACTAATGTGCCACTTTTTAAGAATCCCTTTGAAAAAAGTTGAGACTTTTAAGTACCTGGGCCACTGGATCACAGATGACCTGAAAGACAACCAGGATATTGAGAGGGAGCGGAGGTCGCTGTCTGTCCGCTATAATATGTTGGCCTGCAGATTTGCTAAATGTACTGACGAAGCAAAGATTACGCTTTTCAAGGCTTACTGTCAGTTATTTTATACGTGCAGTCTGTGGGTTAACTTTACGCAGAGGACATACAGTGATCTTAGCGTACAATACAATAACACGTTCCGGGTATTGATGGGGCTGCCGCGTTTCTGTAGCGCTTCTGCTATGTTTGCGGAGGCTCACGTAGATGGTTTCACCGCCATAGTGTGTAAACGTTGCGCTTCACACCTTAGGCGCATTCGCGACAGCCCAACAGTATCTTGTGTGCTTTGGCAGACCGTTGGGACTCGCCGATGCTTACTCGATGGATACGGCTGCAAGCAGTCAATTAGTCATCTTGCGGGCAGGGCCGGGTGCCATATTTGTTTGTGTGGTTTTTCTGTTTGTCCTTGTTTTATGTTATATGTGTTATGTTTCAACAGTCAATTGCTAACATTAGTTATAAGGTCTAAAAATTGTTACTAACCTATATGGATCATGATGTCCGAAATAAACGTTTATTATTATGTGGGGTATCTATATAGTTTTCTCATCTGGTTGGGATGTATAAATATATAATTATAAATTAAAATGAAAAGATAAATATACATAAATATCAATAAAATAAAATAAATACAAAAATACATAAATAAATAAAATCCCAACCAGATGGAAGCCCTCGGCAGGGGAGGCCAAACGGCCAAGGGTTAGGGGAAAAGGGAAAGAAACCGGCGGACGATGCGGGCAGTATCAAGGAGCACCGCCTTCTGCATTTGAGCCCGGAGCGGTCCGTCACGGAGTCCCAGTCGCCTCAGATGACCAGAGAGGCTAACTGGGATTAGCCCGTTCGCAGAGACGACTACAGCAATAATTTCGGTCGGCAGACCACCCCACATGTCGGTCACCTCGTGAGCCAAGTCCAGATATTTTGATTGCTTATCTGTTTCGGCTTTCACGAGGTTCTCGTCATACGGGATGGTAATATCGACCAAAAACATCCTTGACTGTGCCCGGTCCATCAGCACAATATCAGGCTTATTCGCAAGAATAGTCCTGTCTGTGATGATGGCCCGGTCCCAGTAGAGCCTGGCGCGGTCATTTTCGAGCACGGCTTCCGGCAGTAATACTTGTAATACGGCAATTTCCGGTCCACGAGACTGTATTTCAAAGCGAGCTCCTGGTGTAGAATTCTGGCTACTAGGTTGTGCCTGTGCAAGTTCTCAGAGGTAGAAAGCGCCGAACAACCGGAGATGACATGCCTAAGTGACTCACCGGGATGGCGACAAGCTCGACAGACGTCGACGGTTCCATCCTTTAGGATGTATCTCCGATAGTTGTTGGTCTTAATAACCTGATCCTGTATTGAACAGACAAAACCCTCGGTTTCCCCGAAGAGGTCACCGCAACGTAGCCAGTTGAGGGAGGCGACTGTATCTACGAAAGGCTCATGAAGAGCTCTGTAGTACCTCCCGTGACGCTCCTCCCATCCATACGGTCTCCCGATCGGAAATGCTAAGCACTGCTGGGTCCTGCCATTGCTCGTGGGCTAAGGATAGAGGGGTAAGCCCTTTATCACTAGAAATGACGTCATTATAGAATGGATCATCCGATCTCGCCAGGAAGTAATCACGGAGGCTGCACACTTCGCGATTATGCATGGTGAGCGCGCTCAGAAAGCCACGCCCACCATGCTTTCGCGGCAAGTACAGCCTCATTACCGACGATCTCGGATGATGCATCCTATGGGACGTCATGGTAGTGCGGACTTTTCTATCCAGGGCGTTAAGTTCGGTCTGACTCCACCTGAGTATGCCAGAGGTATATATGAGGACAGGCATGACCCAACCGATATATGCGTGTGTCTTATTCACATCGGACAAAAGGCTGTTAAGCACTTTGGTCAAGCGTGCATAAAACACGTCGCAAACTGACTGTTTCATACCAGCCTTATCGATACCGATGTTCTGTGACATACCCAGGTATCGGTAAGTTTCAGCCTCGGAAAGGGTCTTTAAGTTGACGGGCATAGATAAATCTATGCCCTCAGAGTTAGCAACCCTTCCCCTTCAACATGAAGGACCGCACACTTATCCGTCCCCAGCTCCATTCCAATAGAATTGCTAAATTCACAAGTGATGTTTAGCAATTCCATAAGATGGGAGCGACTGGAGGCGAATAACTTGGGGTCATCCATATAGAAAAGGTGGGTCACTTTTGTTCCTCCCTTCCGTAGCTGGAATCCTCTCCCGGAGCCCTCCAGTAAGGTACTGAGAGGGTTCAGAGAGAGGCAGAACCAGATTGGACTCAGACAATCGCCCTGGAAGATACCCCTTCTTATCCTTATGTGGTTCTCCGCAGCCATCATCCGCTCGCCCAGATAACATAGGATCGTACTCCACTGCCGCATACACTGCTCGAGGAAGTCTCTAACTGTACAGTCAACCTTGTACAGCTCAAGGACCCTCTTTAGCCATGTATGGGGCACCGAGTCGAATGCTTTTCTGTAGTTTATCCAGGCGGCGGAGAAGTTCTGAATGTTGCGTTTCACCACTTTGCCAATGACCGCGTCAATGAGGAGTGGTTCCTTGGTTCCACGAGCACCGCCCCGACATCCATTTTGAGCGCGTGACATCACCTGATTTAGCTCCAGGTGACGAGTGATTCTCGCGCTCAAAATTGATGTCAGTGTCTTATATATAGTGGGTAGACACGTGATGGGGCGGTATTTGCTCGGGTCTGTAGTATCCTGATCTTTAGGAACCAAGTGAGTGATCCCAGTAGTAAAGAGGCTAGGGAGCGACTTCTGATCGAGAGCCTCTTGATACTGTCGGGCGAGCACAGCGTGACACACTACGAACCCCTTCAGCCAGTAATGATGCAGCCCGTCGAGCCCCGGACTTTTCCAGTTCGGGGCCCTACGGACCGCCTCAGCCACGTCTTCAGGCGTTATGGTGACGGGGTTCATAGGCGTAACACTTGCACTCTGGCTCGCCACAACTTCTATCCAAGGGCCTTCGCTGTGGTTTACGGGCTCTGACCACAGGTCACGCCAAAATGCGACAGTGTCAGCCTGATCCGGTCCTGGGTCCGCTCCACATACCTCTGGTCGCTCCATGATTTATAGAGCCTCTTCTGATCACTCTGGAAGAGACGATTCTGGTTGAACCGCCTTGACCTCTCGCTAAATCGTCGAATCCGCTTCCCCGAAGCAGCGATTTTTTGCTTCAGGTCATCTATGCGCTCCGTTAGTTTCTGCGTTATATCCGGCTGGGACAAACTAATATTTGTCCCAGCAAACGCCATTCTAACGGTGCGCACAACTCTCGGTCTATTATTACCCGACCTGAAGCTTGTCAGTCTGCCGATAAGGGCCCTTGCCTTTGCGATACGGTCCTTGATTCCTTTTGTCCAGGCTGGGATGGCACTACCTTGTTGAGTAGCACGTCCAGCCATGGTAAGTTTGGCGCCAATAATACGGCATACTGCCAGTGCGGCGCCAAAAAGAATTGAGTCCGTCTCGCAAAGGTCCCGGCTGGCTTCCAAATAGGTCACCAGCATTGGGTTAAGAGCCCGCACGACAGCCCGATTTCGCTCGCTAAGGGGTATGCGGGGAAGTCGCGTTAAGTTATTATTATTATTATTATAATGATTTTAGTCAATATCGATGTTTATCCTATGCTGATTTACACGAAGTACAGATACAGAACAGTGAAATTAGATGCTCATTTTGTATTTTTCAAGAGACAACGAAGTAACAATTCATTGATATTTAAAGAGTTTATAATTAACGTTTTCCATTATTTGAAATGAACTTAACGAAGTAACTCTTGAAAAAATACAAACCGTAACCAAATAGTACGTAACTTATGTTCGCACTTTACTGCTTGGTGTGATAATTCTGCTTACTTGATTTGCCAGCTTTACTGGGGAGTTTATAAAATAATGACTGCTTTTTTCAAGTAAATTCTTAATATTTGTGTGGCAGAAGAGGTGCTTGGGGTATTTTAAATAATACAAAAGTTATATAATAATTAATATGTACATTTATTCTGTCGTCCTTTCCATCATTTCTCTTACAGTTAAATTTCGTGGTATCCGACCGTCAATTGTTTCAAGGAGAATGCATTCATGGAATTTTTTTTTTAATTTTGGTTCCATGTTTGCCAAAATTCGTCGTCTTTCTCAAGTTTTTCATATAATAAGCCTTCGGGGCTCCACAAAACAAAGTAACAAAATTTTCAGCATGTGATTTGAAATTGGCCTTGTACTTGATAGTAGTCGTTGTAGAGTATGCGGGAGTCGATTTTTTTATTTTCTATTCTTTCTGTTGAAGTTATCTCAGCAAAGTTATACGGGCGTATCGCTTCAATGATTGAGTTCTCGACTCTCTCTGAAAGTTGTATTCAATGATGTTGAAGAATTTCCTTGGTTCTTTTGTGGTGATAATATAATTTTAGGTATGATTACAGTACAGTGTAAATTTTTCATTATAATATGATGAAAGAAATTCTAAGAAAGACACTTGAAATCGCAGACCTATGTTTACAAATAATGATGATTGCATTTTATGTGCGTGTCAAAAGTTTCCTTCTAAATCTTAAATAGACTACTTATGCCACATCAGTCGTAAACCAACTTTAAAACTCATTCCACTGAAGTCCCTTCCCATGTATTTTTTATTTTATAGAATAAGGTTGACAAACACAGCACACACACACACAGCACACAGTTCACCTGATGGTAGGTGGATGCTGTGGCCCATAGATATCTACATTTATCCTCGATTAAGAATCAAAATGCAGATGCGTTTTCACCCCTGAGGACTAAGATAGAATGCCTCGTTTCTAGTAAAAAAGTGCCGCCGAATCTCTACACTCACCATACGAAACACACCACTATTAAGCTGCTATTTTACGCTGGTATTCTGTGAGAGCGTGGTCCTTCCCTGGTCGAGCCGACCCATTCGTGCTACAACCTACAACTATAATATAGCTGAAGCGTGGCTCTACCACGTACAAAATATAAAATGAGCTCCATTACGCAAAAAATACTAAGGGCACCTGGGCCAAGTGTGACATAAATTAATTATAACTATAATCGACATTTAAATACTTCTACTCTGTAAGGATTTAATATAGAGAATTCAGTTTCATTACATCAATTATTGAGTGAATGTATGTTTGATCAAGCATTTTAGTATTTAAAGTAGCATTTTGTAATTTGAGGTAATTAAAACTAATTTAGGTGGAATACTGTCACACTTACCCATCAATGAGGCAAGTGTGACAGTACGCTTCTTTTTGTAGTTACTTTATTATCTGTGGTTTTCAACAAAATTGATGAGATGACTACTAACGTCGATATATTTTATGATCTATGGAAACGATTTGAACGCTGGAGTAGCTACTGGGATGAAATTAACTTAGCAGTTGTCAACGGTTTAAAGTGTGCTGCTAAACTGCTCAGTAGCTTTAAAATCTCAAATAATTTTATTTAGTAAATTTATATAACTTCGAGAAAGTCGTCTATCCCACATATGTTTTTCAGCACTTTCTTTAAAATTTAGCCCGTAGCTATAGTGACGCCACCCTTATTTAACGATTTTCTATGGACACTTTTTAATACACAGTCTTTACTCCTTACTTCTGCACTCCATACGTCATGGCATGAGGGTCAAAGAACAGGAGAACGATCACTACGTGCTAAAGCATAGCCCGCCTGTTCTTGAAAATTGTAGAATACATAGCGGCGCTGACGTCATTGAGTACTAACTGCAAAGTTATCTGTTTATGAGTACAAGTAGGTGAAGTTAGTTGAATAATGAACAAATTTTCATTTCATTTTTTCGTAGAAAATTTTCATGCGCCGTAATTTTGTAATTTTTGACAAAAAGAAACTTTAAAAAATGGAGAAATATTTTATTGTTCGTGGATGTGCAAGTGGTTTAGCATCTGATCGGAAATATAGACTGAAAATGACTTTTATTGACTGAACTTAGTGATCGCAGCGCCTCACTGATAGTGGCCATATTTCTGGGACACTATTTTCTAGGGCGATCGTTCTCCTGTTCTCTAACCTTCATGCTTCATGGTATAAATGTATAAAATATTATGGAGTGTAGAGGTAAGGAGTACAGAGTGTAAAAGTGTTAGTAGCAAAGCGCTAAATAAGGGTGGCGCTACTGCAGCTACAGTCAAAGAACTTTTTATAATTTTTTTATTGCACAGACTTTCACCATAATTCTTTTTACAATAATTATTTTATTGCTTTCAAAATTTTAATTTTCAATATCACTGTCAATGTATTTACGGGGATTTATCATATCCTGTAGCTACTCGTGCGCTGTTGTGGAGAGTTTTTGAACTGTTATTTACTGCTTACAGATCGTAGACAGAGAAACTTATATACCCTAGACAAATTGACGACTTCTTTCGCATTAACACACGAAAAAGACAGATTTATGCATACGTCGTGCATAGAAATGAGACAGGGCGGTGTGATTGTTTGTCCCTTTATCCATGCCGGTTTTTTTGTTTAGCAAACTATACTTTGCTAAACAACTTTGACAGTTCGTAGCGATCTAAGTAGTTTACAAGTTGGTTTACGTGAGAAAAAAAGTGTTTTGTGAGCTTAAGATTGGTGAATCTTGTTCAGTTTAGTTCTTAGAACAATTAAAATTTTTATCTAAATATGTTTGAAAGTTATAAAGATTATATATATATAACCTAAAACTACGTTATCGTCCTTTCTCACTCGAGACCACGCTAATCATTAGTCTATAGGTTTCTCTGTTTACGTTACAGATGGACACATTTTCAACTATTCTCCTATGGGATATTGTCCTCCTTACCTCTATACTCCATGATAAAATATAATGAAAAGAGCATAGACGATATAAACCAAATCACAAATAATATATACATAGACAGACATAGCATTTTGAGCGTAGACAGAGAATGCTAAATTACAATATATAATTAGTCAAATACAGTCCACTTAGCTCTCCATCCACTACAATACCTATCGATGATAATCGCTAATAACAGTGTTCCTTTTCGCGCTTACTTTACGTACTAATTTCTAATTTTATAACTAGTTGTGGGGTAAATTTTTCCTTACACTTGTAACCCTGAATGTAGTGACGTATTTTTTTTGTCTCAGCTACACGCTTTGCCGGTGTCTAAGATTCTCTGCGTAGACAGTTTCTCTGTCTACGATTTTGAGTGTAAGTGAAAGAGAAATCGTTAGTAATTAAAAAGAGACAAGAGATTATTCGCGATTAGCAATGGCGTCTTCGTGAGTTGTCCTTTTCGCACCAAATTTTCTCATTTTAATGTTATGAATACAGAAATTATTGTTTACGTTTTTGGTTTAAGGTGCCTTCTGTAAAATTGTTATTTTTTTCATAATTTTAAGTTGTTTCAACGTATGTTCTAATACCATGTTTTGTACTGGGCGAGGCGATTGTGTTAATGTGTCCTTAATCGCTCAAAAATCCACAAACAACGCATTTAAAAGCATTTCACTTGTGTATTAACACAATCAGTTGTTTTAAAGAGCAAAAATGGACAAGAAAAATAAGAAGAGGACTGTTATTAAGCGGAAAACTGACGATCCTGTTGAGAGTGAAAAGAAAAAAATCATGGTGAATAGAAAAGTTGAAGAAGAAAAGGACAAAGTTGAAGTTGTGAACCAAGTGGTGGAGGTTCCTGCGGAGCAGGCTCAACAAATCGTTCATACGGGTCAGTTAGTCGAAGGTAATTTCGAGCAGCCGGTATTTGTAAATATGAAAGGAGAACCTGTTCAATTGGGACCAAATACGGTCATCTTATATGAACAGAGTGGGAATCCTTCAAATTTTGCGTTTGGCGGTATGTGGACGATGGACTCCTCGGGTAGGATCGTTATGGCGGAGACTATTTATGACGTCAAAGGAGAGCCCGATGAAGAGACTGGTACTTTCGTTCAGAATACTAGTGAAGTCAGTAGTGTAAGTAAAATTTGTTCATGTTCATTTATCATAAGATGAGTATTTCAGAAAAAAAAAAAGACGTGTGGCACTCGGGGACTGCCGCGGTAAAGCTATTGCATAGTATCAACTTATGCAATTATAATTATTTATTTATTTTATTTATGCAGTATTTCTTTTTCTTTGATATTAATTCAAGTTACACTTTTTGAGCGTGGTGACCGATAAGAAAACAATTTTTTTTCTTTTTATTAAATAAATAAATAATAAATGCACTTTGTTCATTAATATTCAAAACACTTTATACACAAATTTTACAAGTACAGCTATTCACTGTTGTACATAAATACCTATGCACCTATATACTTTCTCATAAACAGCTGCTTATGTATTCGTCCGATTTCGGAGCAGCTCGTCTCGATTCGTGCGGAGCTTCGTAGAGTCGTACAATACGTCTAGTTGCACGCACACAAACACCGTGTCGAAGACTGCCGAAAAGGCACGGCCTTCAAGCCACACCTCCGTGCCCGTCGGAGTGGGGAGCGTGAGGTTTTTTTCGTTACGGAATTTCTGGATTCGGTCCCCACGCTCAAGGCCCACGATAGAAGCTATGCAATAGCTTAAAAAACATTGTTTATTTGACTTGGTAAGCATTTCATAGTATCCCTTTGTATGAATGCAAGAGGGCAATAGGAAAAAGAGCCGTGGTAGTCCAGATGGTTCACGCTTGCTGTAAATGTAACAGAACGCTAGTAACCCGGGTTCAATCCCCGCCGGCACAATGAATTTGTTAATTGCAATTTTAAGTGCTGATTTACCATGTGCTCGGCGGTGAAGGAAAACATCATGAGGAAACCTGCATGTCCGAGGAATAAGAAAAATTATATTTCGAAGACATGTGAAGTCCGCCAACATGCATTGGGGCAGTGCGGCGGACACTTCCCTGCCCTAAAACCCTCTCAGAAATGAGGGGAGGCCTGTGATCAGCAGTGGGACGTATATAGGCTGTAACTTTACGTTTTACTAGTAGTTAGGTATAAAAAGTTTTAGTAAGGTTTAGAGGCCAATCCCAATGTGAAGGAATTAAATGTTTGTGGCTTTAGTTGCTGTTGAGAGATGTTGCTTCATAGGTGCTAATATATTTCTAAGTGACTTCAATAAAGGAGGATTTTTCTGAATTGTGCAACTAAGTATGATTCAATCATTTGACTTCATAATTTATAGTATAGTTGTAGTGCGAATGGCTGGGCTCGACTGGGGAAGAACCACACTCTTGCAGAATACCAACATAAAATAGCAGCTTAAGGCTGTTGTGTTTCATATAGTGAGTGTAGTGAACCGGAGACCCATTTACTGGAGAAGAGGCATTCCATCTTAGTCCTCATGGGCGATATGCATCTGCATTTTGATTTTTAATCGAGGATAGATGTAGATATCTATGGACCACAGCATCCACTTATCATCAGGTGGACTGTGTGCTCGTTTGCCACCCTTATCCGTAAAAAAATCTTATTTGAATTACTTATTTGAATGAGATGTCTTATCTTAACTGATCAAATGTGAGGTGGTCGCTCATAAGCAGTTTTTAAAATAAATTTTGTGAAGAGATGTACAACCTTTCATATTGTGTGATTTAATTTTAAAAAAAACAGTCCCCCTGGGTTTCATGCTGGTTCTTCCCAGAGGTTATTCCAAAGCAAAGGTAATGTTAAAAAAATAACTCAATAAGGATTACAAGTAATCTATAATGAATAAAAATTATTTTATTCTGTCTTCCTCCTCCTGCATTTGTGCCGACTGGTCTACTGACTCACATACACTGGTCAAGTAATTGTGTAAATTAGTATAAAACGAAATAAAGATAAATTATAATGTATTATCAAAATTGGTTTATTAATTGATTTGTCACTACAAATGGTTTATTATACATAAATACATAAACACTCACACCTGTCACCCAGAGGGGTAGGCAGAGACTACGGACTTCCATTTGGCACGAAAGGGAATAGAGTGAATGGGACACTACACTCTATTATGACGAATCAGAATGTGTCAAAAAAGGCACATATGGTAATTCATAATGCTGTGTTAGTCTCTACTTTAATGTATGGTAGTGAAAGCTGGGTGTGGCAGAAGAAGCACGAAAGTAGAATAAATGCTGTAGAAATGCAGTCTTTAAGGAGTATGCTAGGGTTGAATCTGAATGAAAGGGTGAGAAATTGCGTGATAAGAGATAAATGTGGTATGCAAGATGATGTTGTGACCAGGATTAAGAAAGGAATGCTTCGGTGGTTTGGTCATGTGGAAAGAATGAATGAGGAAAGAGTGACAAAGCAAATTTATATAGAAGATGTGAATGGCAGAGTCGGGAAGGGACGCCCTAGAAAAAAGTTTATCGACCAAATTGGCGATATTTTGAAAATGGGCCACGTTAGAAGTACCCTTAACCGACGAGCATGTATGTGTAGATATATGGATGTAAAGGAGGCGAAAGAGGTATGGTTTATTAATATTTTTTTATCCTTTATCTTGCAATATTCAACCCTTGTTGCTTATTTATTGTATTTGACATAACTGGTAACACAAAACTATTGTATTGTTTAGATATTTTATGTGTATATAATTTAACATAAAATGTTTATAGATGTAAAAGTTCACAGTCAAACACTATAAGTGTGTTTTTAATCTAAAAAAATTGTACACTGCATGTAAATAGAAGTTAATTGCAAATATTTCTCGAAAAGAATCTTTCTGCAATATGATAATATGACTGGACTAACAAAAATTAATATTGTCCCTTATAAATGTATGAACCTTGCAATGACAATACAGAAAAAACATATAGTTGAATTGTAATTTTTTCAACATGGCTAAAAATAAAATTAATGGTAATATAAACTTTATAACCTTTTTTCACCTGACTTAAAAAAAGGAGGAGGTACTACTCAATGCGAGTAATTTTATATGTGTTTAATTTTTAATGTTTTATGTTTGAACCTTATTTCTAGGTGAGCCAATTTTGATGATTCTTTTTTTTAATTTGAAAGCTGGTGCTTCTCATGTGGTCCCATACATATTTAATTGACTTCAACTACATTTATGATGTTTTTATTTTATTTATATTGAAGTCTGTTGTACAAATTTTTTAATTTTACCACTTGTATGGACTTGTGTCCAACCTTAATACTTTTTAGCTATTTATATTTTTTCCTTTTTCAAAACTATAATTGTAAATATGACTTTTAGCAACCAGTTGAGGAGCAAACTACCACATATCAACAGTATGAATTAAGTAGCAACGCTCAAGTTGAAGGGCAAGAGTATGAAGTGGCCATCATTGAGAATCCAGGGGATACAAATGAGAGGTAAGTTTGTCAATTATATCCATTTTATAATTATTTTTTAATTTATTTTAGGACCTTTGATGTACAGACTAATTCTGTCAACGCTTATCTCAGTCTTTGGTCAGTCACATCTTGACTTGAGGCATCCCATCTTAATGCTCAGTGGTGACAACAAATCTGTTGCTTTCTGTGTTTGAAGTTGGCTATAGGTTGTCCATCGATTGCAGGAGCCACATACCATCAAGCACACTGTATGTTTGTTGGCTGCCTCGTCGGTCTAGTGGTTGTAGTAGTGCAACTGTTGATCATGAGGTCCTGGGTTCGGATCCCGGGTCGGGCCAAAAAATTAATTATTGAGTTTTTCTGTCAAGAAATCCTCAGTACCTGTCCGGAGTCAGGAAGTTGGCGGTGTCTCACCCCCCGTGCATCAGAAAGCACTGTTGATCCTGTGCCTGTTCTCTCTTCGGTTGTGTGGTTTACTGTCCCATCGGATTATGAGAGTGAGGGATTAGAGAGTGCACCTGTGCTTGCGCATACACTTGGGCACTATAATCCTGTCCTGCACCAATGGCTAGTCTCCGTTGAGGCTTGCTGCAGTCACTGAAATTCGATCTGGACATTATGTTTGTCACTCCAGTTATATAAAAAATTCGACAGATTTACTCAAACTCTTCACTTTGAGCATGTGGATCCAGCAGTGCAGAGCTGATACTGTCCCAAAAAGAAAGAAAGAATGCAGTACATTTTAAGTAGTGATTAGTACACTTCATCCACTATAGCATAAGTCCACAGCTGAACATAGGCCTCCTCCATAGATTGCCTCATATGCAAATATGCCTATTGTGGTCATAGTGGCATTTTATTTTATAGTGATCAGTGAGCGCACGACACAGGCGCACGCGTATAGCCAAACGTTTGCACTCTTGTTTACGTATCTACTATCTACGTCATGCAACATATATCACCAACCTTTTTTCTTCGTAACTGTAGTCATTGATACTGTTACTTCAAGATGAATATCTGTGAATCATGTTCAAATGAGTTCAATGATGGAGCGCAATGTTATGTTTGTAAAAAACACTACGACTTGGTTGTGCTGGTATAACGGATTTTCGGAACTTAGGAGCAGATCGAAGAGCTCAATGGAAATGCCTTCAGTGCAAAAAGGTTTCCTTCAGCCCCTCCCGTCCAAGATCTGAAGCCACTCCTGGTGGCAATTCTGGTGGGGAGTCGGCGACATTGGATGTTATTCTTAAGGAGATTTGTGAGATGAAGCTGGTCACGACAGTTCCATGTCTTATTGAAGACATCAAATCTATTAAAGTTGAATTAATCCATCTGAAGGAGTCTTGTGAGTACAACAGTAGTTCACTTAAATCTTTTCAAGATCAAGTCTCCAGTTTGGAATGTGGTGTATCTCAGATAGAAAAGATTCAAAATTCTCTTGCTGTGGCCAACAAGGAAATAGCTAATCTTAAAAGTGTTATTGAGACTAATGACGGCTTAGTAATGTTGAAGTAAAGGGCATCCCCCTAAAGCCCAATGAAAACCTCTTTGTAATTGCGGAGTCTATGGGTAAAGCAGTTGGGTATGAATTCCAAAAAAATACCAAAGAGAAGGCCATCATTATCAATTTCATAAATCGTTATGTCAAAGAAGAATTTGTAGCAGCTGCATGTGGCTGCAAAACTTTAGAGGCGAAGGATGTTGGATTTGGAGGCAATCGTCAACGCGTTTTCGTAAATGATCATTTGACTTCAGAGCACAAAAAACTCCTTACCTAAACAAAGACCTTAGCAAAAGACCGAGGTTATTCTTATATCTGGGTCAAATACGAAAAAAATTCATATTCGTAAAAATGATACTTCGCCGGTTTTAATTATTACTAAAGAGGGTGATTTAAACAAAATAGTTTAATCTATTGTTTATTAATGTCTCTTTACATTACTTCTTTTAATTTTATTAAGTATTCTTATATCTGTATAATTTACTTTTACTTTTATGGAATTACGAAGCTGTTTTTAAAAAGTTACAAAATGCTTGTTACCCTTGCCTTACCTGCTTCGTTGACGCATCGCTATTTGTTAAAATTGCCTATTGGTTATCAGTTGCTTGCTTCTGTTGACTGATCATATTTTGCACTCATTAGATGGTACAGTTTTATTTTTTTATACCCGTTTGTAAATATTATATGCTAACTTATTATAGTCTTAGTGAATTTTTAAATATTGGTATATTGTTTACTAATTTTATTAACGGGTTTTTGAAATATGACGGGAGATATATATTCCTTTATTGTAGTAAAATTATTTTGGTTATTGATAGGCTTAAAAATGGCTATGCTACATAATAATAGTGTACGTGCAGGGTGTGCAGTGACAACCTGAGAATATATTATCAGAACGCAAGAGGCTTGCCCACTAAAACTGACATTTTATCGTAATATTCTTTTATGTGATTATGAAATAATATTAATTACGGAGACATGGCTCCCAGACAGAATTAGTGATACGGAATTATTTGATAATCGATACGTTGTATGGCGGCGTGATAGGAACTACACAGTTACTGGTCAGAAATACGGTGGTGGCGTTTTGATTGCGACGCGTAAAGATCTAGAAGCTATCCCGCAGCCTTCCTTTCATTCAAGTGCTGAGGACCTATGGTTAACGTTATCTATTCACCATATTACCCGTAAAAAACGCAAGACTTTGCATATTTGTATCTTATATTTGTGCAAGGAAAATCGGGGTCTCAGTTTTACTGCTCAACTTCAAAATTATTTGCACTCGGTTAGCGAAGTTGTCATGAGTCACTCGGACGATAGCTTTTTATTAGTTGGCGACTTTAATATCAGTGATATTATACTAGGCTGCACTAAAAGTATCGGAAATGGAATATTTCCACTGTTCCTGTCATATTAAAATCTTTGTAATTGAAAACTCCTTGGTTTTAAAAATCGAATACCATTTATTTATTTAAAAAAAAGATTGTCAGTCTTGTCACAAGGTTTTGTCAAACTAGTCGTTCAGAAAATGGAAGTGACTCGAGAAAATTCAAGAGCGATGATTTATTATAACTTTAGAAGTGGTTTAACACAAAAACAGTGTGTTGACCGGATGATTTCTGCATTTGGCGATGAAGCCCCATCCAAAACCACAATTTATCGCTGGTTTGCTGAATTTCAACGTGGACGTGTCAAGCTCAGTCATGATCCCCGTCAAGGTCATCCAAAAATTACAGTCACCCAAGAAAAGGTTGATACTGTGCGTAAGCTGATTGAGGGAGATCGACATGTGACATACCGCGAAATTCAGGCAACTTTAGACATTGGCATGAGTCAAATACAAATAATCTTGCATGAACAATTAGGTGTAAAAAAGTTGTTTTCCCGATGGATACTCTCGCACTCGCTCTGAGAAGAGCAAAAAGCGGCTCGCGTTACTCGGTGCGTTAGAACTCTCGAAAGATTCCACGCAGGATCCTCAAATCCTGTATACAAACATCGTATCAGGTGACGAATCCTGGGTATACACGTACGAACCCGAAACAAAAAACCAGTCACGAGTTTGGATGTTCGAAAATGAGTTAAAGCCAACAAAAATTGTTCGTTCACGGAGTGTTGCAAAAAAAATAGTGGCCACGTTTGTCTCCAAAACCGGCCATGTTACGACTATTCCTCTTGAGGGACAAAGAACGGTTAATGCAGAATGGTATGCTAGCATTTGTTTGTCACAGGTCGTTTCTGAACTTCGTAAAGAGAACTGCAACCGCCGCATCATCCTCCATCACGACAATGCGAGTTCTCATACCGCACACAGAACAAAAGAGTTTTTAGAGCAAGAAAACATGGAACTATTAGACCATCCACCGTACAGCCCCGACCTAAGCCCTAATGATTTCTATACTTTCCCTAAAATAAAGAATAAATTGCGTGGACAGAAATTTTCATCACCTGAAGAAGCTGTGGACGCCTACAAAACGGCCATTTTGGAGACCCCAACTTCCGAATGGAATGATTGCTTCAATTATTGGTTCCATCGTATGGCAAAATGTGTCAAATTTTTCGCGGAGAATACTTCGAAAAGCAATAAATATATTTTTAAATAGTTATGTTGTATCACTTCCTTGATTCCCGATATTTTCAGTGCCGCCCTCGTATGGGTGCCTGACATCGACGTCGCCGACGGTTCATTTTTAGGTACAAATATTCGTTCGGGTAATGAAATTTTATTAATAGATGAATTAAGCTCGCTAAATTTGAGACAAATTAATGGTATAAAAAATGCCCATGGCAGGATCCTTGACCTTGTTTTTTCTAGCGACGCTGTAACCGTTCGTGATTTAAGTGGGGATTCTCTTATTCCTGTTGATCCTTATCATGGCGCCCTTTTAATATCTTTTGATTACGTTGATTGTGATTCATTAAATAGCAATTCTCGCCTTAAGTATATCATAAAGGTGACTATTATTCATTAAATGGTGAGATTGCCAATATCCAATGGGCTGAAGTTATGTCTCCGTTATCCTTAGATGAATCTATTCAATATTTTTATAGCACACTCACGTCACTTAGAGATAAATATATCCCCTCAAAATTAATTGTTGCCGACACGTATCCTAAATGGTATACAGCACCACTTAAAAAAGCTATAAAAGAAAAACATAAATTTTTACGTAAATTTAGGATCTATGGCTGTAGGCATGACAATGAAACTTTTAAGCTATTGCGGGAGCGTGTAAGGAAATTAGAAAAGTTAGCATACCAATCTTACATAACCTCTGTGGAAAATTCGATTAGTGCAAATCCGAAACACTTCTGGTCGTATATTAAACAAAAATCAAAATCACATTCAATACCTTGTTGTCTCAAATTTGAAGGTTCTGTAATGAACTCTGGTGAACTTATCTGTAATGCTTTTTCAAACTATTTTCGTTCTAAATTTTTTGGTTTCGGGTGATAGTAATACTCAGCTGTCTGAAAATAATTATGATTCTCTAGTGTTGCCTCAGTCGAGTGT